TTGAGATACTCTTGGGATTTGTCTTGAGTGAACATCAGTATAAAAAAGACAATATATAAACATTGGGAAAAGAATCAATGAAGAGAAACTTTTTTTTCGCAGATTCCACTCCAATCAATAAATTTCTTTGAACTGATAACCTCATAAATATAAATATACGAAAGAAAATGTAAATTAAAATTGTTATATACACCCTTGTGCAAATTAATTGAAACAACCGCTTTCTTTCTTTTACCATACAGTCAGTTCAAACCCACTGGAGTGACAGTTGTAATCGATTTCTGTTTTTCTCATATTACGTTATTTACAGTGCTGTGCAGTAATATGAATCCATTTTAGAGTTTAAGATGAAATTTGTTTGGCCTTGAAAAATATTGCGTCATCTGTGATTGCATCAGATTTTCATCACGCCGAGACACTATAGTCTCGACTCCCGATTAGTTGCCCTACAGCGGTTGTATGCGTTACACGTTTCTTCCCAGGACGCGTACGAACATTGTAACGCTGCACGAACCAACTGGCAAGCTTTACTAGTGAGAAAATCAAATTACTAAAGACTTTCCCGGAAAATTTCCTGATTTAAATCCAATCGAGTATCTGTGGTCAATCTGCAAAGAATGACTTTGTGGAATGGACATACGAAGTACTTACATAAGCACTCGGTCATGTTGCATTGGAAAAATACGGAAAAAACAGTAAATAGTAACAGAATTATTTGTTTTGTTTCAATTAATTTGCACAAGGGTGTAGCTGATAATGGCTCTCCACATCTTCCTGTATAATTAATTTGCGCAAGGGTGTAGAATTTATTACTATAAACGTTTTAGAGCGTACACTTATTTGAGTTTCTATCCCTGAAAATTAATAACAACCCTGTTAGATTGAGAATTCTTACTAAAGGAATGTTGTGTCTCCAACAGGAATCGAACATCTATCCCATTTTCCATCAGGGATACCGCTTCTATAGTTTGAATGTACCTTTACCAATTTAGCTATCGAGGCCATGTTGATGGAGCAAGCTGACAGATCTAAGTTCATAGAAGTCCCATCGAGAAATATGCATTCTTTAAATAGGTCATTCAAATCTTTTTATCTATGAACGCTGTCTCCATGGCCAAAACCTACCCAGGATCACGACGATTACGACGGGGATTATTTGGGTACGTGCTGCAATTGGCTGTGCAATTTCCTTCTCATGAAACTATGCTGTTTTATTTCAACAAGAGAAACGCAGCATAACTTCAAGGAAGACGACTAACAACCATAGAATACATACAGATGAGCGACAATAAAAGAATTGAAATTCCATCATTCAAAGTAAAAAACCTTGAAGAGTTTGGAAAACGTGCAGCATTTTTATAAACATTAGACCAAGGGGGTCTGGGGAGGGAGGACAGATATGGAGTTATTTTCAATGTTTCTGAAGATGAGAAATTAAACTGATTTACAGTGTGCTTCCAAGGCGAAACTGCTATCATAATGATGATGATGATGATGATGATGGCGATGATGATGATATTGATGATGATGATGATGATGGCGATGATGATGATGATGGCGATGATGATGATATTGATGATGATAGTGAAATACGATGATGGTATAAAAATGGTGAAGATAATGACTTCTACAGTTGTCTAACATTCAAATTTGTTGGCAACTTCTTCTTTAAATCTTGTCTCCAATTTTACCATCGAGACATTTAATGTTCGAGGACTTGTGACAAAAGCCGTAATTATTGGTTGCGGAAGTTGATTGATTTAACACTGGTGTATGTTACCTCCAACAATCGGGAACAGAAGAACATTTTATTAATATCGCAGTTAGAACGCACAACTTAATAGCTTTAGACACAGACAGAAAATATTATGGTAATAGTTTCGTCATCAATACCAAATGGAAGAATAATATTCACAGACGTTGGATAAACAGCCATGGAATACACATTGAACAACGACATTAAAAGAACGATCAATAAAATTCCATTCTTCCCCGTAAAACTTTGAAGAGCTTGGAAAAGGTGCAACAATTTCGTGACTTAATACAAGACATGGAGATGTGAAGAACACTAATATTATATATATATATATATATATATATATATATATATATATATATATATATATATATATATTGGCAACCTGTTTTCATTGAGACATGTTTTATTCAATAATTTAGACAAGTTACTCAGAGCCAATCACTCAACTCGGTATTTTTCACTTCAAATTAAAAAAAAAAAAAACTTTCAGATGATCACAGCAATTTTGTCTTTGAAAATGATGAACACAACAATATTTACCTTGAAATGATGATGACATTATGCTAATGTCGAAATTACTCGGAATAAATAACATGTATCAACACCGTAATTTCCTATCTTACTTTAATAACACCAAAAACTCTCCGTGAATATGAAAGGATCCAATTGAAAATAAGTATACATAACTTGTCTAAATTATTGAATGAAACAGGTCTCAATATATATATATATATATATATATATATATATATATAATTTAGAGAGAGAGAAAGGAAGAGAGGTTATTTAAACAATTTAAATTGATAATTTATTATTAATTTAAAAGAATTAAAAACTTCATTTTATACTTTTTTTAAAATATTTTCCATTTCTCTTCCGATTCATATATTTAAATATTAATTTGGACCAAATTTAATTTTATTAAAATCAAATCCTATTTTTATTTCTCTTATCTTATTTTCCAATTATCTTTTTACCTTTTGGCAACAGACATTTTTTATTTACTTTTCTTTTAGGTGCAAATCTTTTGTTAAAATTATTTCCGCCTTGTATTCGCTTTGTTTTCTTTATTTAATATCTTCCAGTCACCTTCTCCCCCTGTCATCGCTTTCTTAATTAGACAATTCATTTTGTTGGAAATAAAATATGGTTTATTATTTATAATACGTATGATAAATTGCATTTCAGTTTTTAATGGTGGGAATTAACAGATGAAATGTAAATATGAATTATAGATATTATATTCAATGTCGTCTTTGAGGAAAAGCGAATGCAACATTATTTGTCTCAATGGGAGTAAAGATATACTTCTTAAATCTTCGATGACAACTTATCTTAAAATGGTTTTCCGTTAAAAAATATATATATATATATATATATATATATATATATATATATATATATATATAAATTCATTAATTTCATCCAATGAAGCCATTTTAACTTCAATAATGATTTTCCTCATTATTTTCCTCTCACGAATTCAGTTGAAAATTCATTTGTGACTTTTGCTATTAATTTCCTGAATTCGTACCGTCTTCACCTCAATTACATCTTTTCTTATTAATTTCCTTTAATGAAGCCATTTTCATCTTAATTATGTTTTTCCTAATGAATTTGTAATAAAAACAAACATTTTCGCCTCAATTATGACTTCCTTTATTAATTTCCTCTAATGAAGCGATTTTTAGTATAATCGTATGTTTCTTTATTATTTATTCGGTCAAGTTATCTCGGACATTCATGAGTTTATCACGCCAACCATCACGGTCCGGCATTAATGTTGGAGGGTCATTAACTAGGCATTCTGTCTCATAACATAACTGCTCAATGTAAGAGGTTGCGGGGTGACAAAACCGTTTTCTTCAGTGGCTAGGTGTTCAGGGCAATAGATGACTCGCGAGTTCTTGCTTGTTTATTAATTTCCTTTAATCGTGTCATTTCACATCAGTTATATTTTTCCTTATTAATTTCCTTTAATAAAGTGTTTTTCATTTCAATTATGTCTTTCCTTTTTAATTTACTCAATGGAACGATTTTATGATTACTCATGTCTGTCTTTATTAATTCCCTTTAATTGTGACATTTCACATCAGTTATATTTTCCTTATTAATTTTCTTTAATAAAGTGTTTTTCATTTCAATTATGTCTTTCCTTTTTAATTTCCTCAATGGAGCGATTTTATGATTACTCATGTCTCTCTTTATTAATTTTCTTTTAATTGTGCCATCACCACTTTAATTATATTTTCTTTATTAATTTTCTTTTAATGAAGACATTTTCAACCTAATTATATCTTTCCTTTTTAATTTCCAAATATGGAACGATTATAAACTTAATCGTGTCTGTTTTATTAATTTCATTTAATAGTCTCATCTTCTGAATTTCATCTTTTCTTATTAATTTCCTTTAATGAAGCTATTTTCATCGCAATTATGTCTTTCTTTTTTAATTTCTTCTAACGGAGTGATTTTAAAATTAATCTTCTCTTAATTTATTCATTTCCTCTAATTACGCCATTTTTACCTTCATTATGTCGTTCCTTATTCATTTGTCATTTTTCTCGACGCCTTATTTGCGAAAAACAACATTCGACTGATTGCACAATCACTAAAGCACTTTATAAACTTCAAAAATACACCGAAGCTTTTATTTAACTTTGTGCAAAAGGCATTTCTAGAAACATTCTTATGTAACTAATATTTGTGGGGGAAAAAAAAGAAGAAATGATAAGTCAATCTCCAAAATAATGTCAATTAAAGAAATAAATGAAAGAAAATTGAATTTCCCCAAAATCTTTACTCAGTTGAGAGGCTTTCTCAATTTTTTCATCAGTTTTCTGAAACGCTAAAACTATACAAATCAATTATCCGACACCGCAACTCAAATACAATTTCATTTTTAGGTTCTTTTTATAAAAAGAAAAATGGTTGAATATAAATGTTTGATTGGAACGGAGGTCATCACATCGGCTCTCTTCAGCCTAACACCTAAAATAAAGAGTTATCATTTTAAAAACAGTGTTCTTTTTATGGCGAGAAAAGGAAATTAACAAAATTTTCGATATCAATATCCCCGAGGAATTTTCATCAAAATATTAGTCGCTCGCCCCAGTGAAGCCACGTGATTATATTTCTATTTCTCCATCAAATGAGAATGTCGGAAATAAGAGACGAATATTTTCGTTGGCAGCTACGACTTATCTTTTTTTCTGTTCGGCGTTAATCGTGGTTTTGAAATTTAAAAAGAAACCATTTCTAATATTGGAGATCTTTTTTTTGTGAATGCGTGAGAGAAAGAGAGAGATAGGTAAAAAGAGGGAGAGACAGATAGACAGAGCGACAGACAGATAGACAAAAAGAGAGACAGACAGATACACAGAAATAGAGAGAGAGACAGGTGGGACGTTGTTTTGGTCTTTGTTAATACGTATTCCATTCCCCTAAAGAAATGGGGTTGCCTTAAGAGTTTCAAATATTTCAAGTGGGTCAACAAACCGAGCGGATAATTGAAGTCGAAAGATTTATATATCTCTCTACAAAATTCCTTCCCCTCTCTCCCAATCTCTCTCTTTTCTCTCTCTCTCTCTCTTTTCTCTCTCTCTCTCTTCTTTTCTCGCTTCTCACACCACTCTCACTTTTATATATCTCTAATAACCACACCATCCCTTTCACTCCTTCTACTCTTATACTATGTCTGCTTTCCCCGTCTCTCTCTCTGCTTTTTCTATCCCCCTCTTTTCACTTCTTTCTATTTCTAATACTGCTATCTCTCTGTTTCTGTCGGCTCTCTCTTTGTCCTCCTCATTCCACCTTTACGTTCATCCTTCCCATCTACACTCTCCCTCTCCTCACTCTCTTTCTATCTTCTCTCTATCTATACATTCTCTGTCTCCTCTTATTCTGTGCTTCCTATTTGAGAGAAAATCTGTAATTCTAAAATCAGTTATAGCGTAAGAGAGAGAAAGAGAGAGAGATCAAACAAGAGAGGGGGGAAGAAAGAGATAAAGAGAGGATAGAAAATGATAGCGGCATAGCGGAGAGAGGTGATAGAAAGTGAAGGCATATTGAAAGATGATAGAAAGAAAAGGCGTAAAAAAGAGATGGTAGGAATAGAAGGTAAAGAGAGAGAGAGGGAAACGGTAAAGAAGAAGGAGCAAACAGAGTTTGTAGAAAGAGAATGTGCAGAGAGAGAGAGAGATGGTAGAAAGATACGGAACACAATGATATTAAAGAAAAACAATGGACAGACGGAGAGAGATGATAGAAAGACGAAAGTTGGTAGAAAGAGAAGGGACAGAGCAAAAGAGAGAGGGAAGGGAGAGAAGAGACAGAGAGAAAAAGAGACAAAAAGAGAGAGAGATGGTAGATGGAGAAGGGACAAAGCGAGAGGGAGATGGTAGGAGGAGAAGAAACAAACAGTCAAAGAGAGAGAATGTGAGAGACGATAGATAGGAAAAGAGCGAGAGATAGTCGGAGGAGAAGAGACAGAGATACAAAGAGAGAGAGACAGGATGAGACATGGTAGAGAAGGGACAGAGTGAGAGAGAGATGGTAGGAGGAAATGAGACAGGAAGACAGAGAAACAGAGAGAGAGAGGGTGAGAGATGGTAGATAGAGAAGGGAAAGGGTGACGACAGCCAATGAGAAGTGTATTCATTCATTCTATAAAGAAAGAAACAAAAACGGAGCTCTTCACAGATCTGTCTGCGATATAGAGTTGTGGTCACATATCCTATATATGGTTTTTAAATTATTTTATCGATATAATCTAGAATTTGACTAGTTCACAGCATTTGATTTTAATGAGTGGCTATTAAATGAAGAGTTTTGGAATATTTCTAATGGATAATTCTGGATGTGGAGGCACTGTAATGGCTATCAGCTTCGAAAACCAGAGTTTACAATCTGTCCTAATCTACCAAGATTATTTTCGATCAAATGCGCATAGAAAAAAGATGAATTCCTCCTTTCTTTTCTCTGGTTGTATGCCAACCAGTCTATGAGAAGAAGGGTTCATGATGCAGAGAAAGCAACGGAAAACCACTCCGCTATAGTTATCAAGAGGGAAAAAACAGGATACTTTTTTTCTGAACAGACATATGCTAATTCTTTTATATTTCAAATTTGAAATTCTTAGTACAACAGAATTACGTTAGAAGTGTTCCAAGATTTACATTTAGAACCAGTTTCCTAGGAAACGCTGACATGTTAAGAATTTCAAATTTTAAATTTGAATTAGCGTTCGTTCAATAAGAAAATATATACACTTGGGATCTGATAAGATCAACAGGTTTATCAAACGTCTGGCACAGATGAGCGCTTCAACGCGAAACTCTTGAGTCGCCTAACCAGATAAATCACACGAATATATATATATATATATATATATATATATATATATATATATATATATATATATATATATATATATATATATATATATATATGGGGGGCAGGTGTTGGGGTTCATATATACTTATATATAGATACATAGAAAAATTATACACATTTGTAAGTATCTGTATTTTCAGAATTTATCTGCATGTGCGTTTGTAAATATCATATTATATATATATATATATATATATATATATATATATAAAACTATACAGCATGTATACTATTTTACGTGCATATATAATCAAATACATATAATTTCTGCTATGTATTTGACTATATATGCACGTGAAATAGTATACATGCTGTATACTTTAAACGCGTACATATAATTTATATAAATACCTATTTATATAAATACATGAATATATAAAGAGAGAAGGAAAGAGAGAGGGGGGGAAGAAAGAAAGCAAAAAAGAAAGTAAGAAACAAAGAAAAAAGAAAGATAATGTATGTATGCATAAACTAATTTCTACTAATGCTTACACACAAAATCACTTTATTTCTTGCTTTTTTCCTTCTTCCTTGCTTTTTTTCTTTTCACTCTTCCTCTCTCTCTCTCTCTCTCTCTCTCTCTATATATATATATATATATATATATATATATATATATAAGTAGGTTTTTATATATTTAAATTACATATACGTATTTAAAGTAAATTGTTAAATCGACGATCAAAATAGTCCAGTCTAGCATTGAGATTGAGATTGAAGATCAAAGCCAAAACTTTCAGGGAAATTCCCGCTCTCTGCCAAGTGACAACGCACCATTTCTCTTGAAATGGCTTCTTGGTAAACAAAGTTCCAATTTACACAGTGAACGCCCGGAGAACCGATGTATTTTGTGGGGATTACTTAAAGACCGTTAGAGCTTATTTGTTTCTATGGCGAATTTTCTTCAGTAAGATTATTCCAGACGTCTTAATAATGTAATTATAAGTTTAGATCTCTTGAGGACTAGACTAACTACGTTTTCAACGGCCGTAGCTTTGGGAAAATGTGGAAAGGATTTTCGCTAACCGAGCACGCATTTTATGAAGGTACGTAAATATGTTCAATATTCTTAATAGGTTTTCCCTTACGACATGGCGTTTAGGTTATCGTTACACAACTATAATAGAAGAAAAATACACCAAGAATCAATACCAAGTTGTACTTACTAAAATGTATAGACTTAAATGTTCCAGGTTCATATATATTTACTTAACCCCAAGGCTTACTTTTCGGTTCAATTCGCTTTCTACTTTATATAAAAGATCTGCTTAAAATTATACTACGATCTTTTGTGAATATCTATACTGATATTAAAACGGTGTACCGCCAAAACTCTAGGTGACCAGAACCTATAAATTATCTCCCCACTGACCCCTGACCTAACTGTGGCGGCGGGGACTGACTACTCACATTCAATTCCTTGCGGTTATTCCATCATCACCCTGAATTTCAAAGTAGATATAGTTTTATGAAATACATGTACTATATATATTTAGAGATAGATAGATAGATAGATAGATAGATAGATAGATAGATAGATAGATAGATAGATACTGTGTTCGTCACGTCGAGAACGCCTCAATATTTATTGTTTTGTAATATATACAAACAAATGCGGCACAAGGCCAAAAAGGGGGGTGGGGAATGACGGTCTTCTTCTGTCTTTACTCTAAAACTTAGCTAGTCACAGACACTGACCCAAACATGCCAACAATAATCCAATCACCAAAACATCACATTCACTCTTACCTTTCTTACTACGTCCACCATAATACCTCAGTTTCTCTATGACGTCCTACCTAGTCCCCATATATACAAATATTGTTCACGGGGGGAGGGTCATAAAAATAACAACCTTAAAAATCCCCAAATGAGTATTTACACAATGAATTAATTATTTACAATGAAACTAAACAAAACTGAGTTAGTAATAAAAAAAAACCCACAAACTATGAATGTGGCAGAAATGCCAGTTAACCAGACGAAACCGATGCGGGACTAAGAAAAAGAGTACACATTCAAACCATCAAGCATTCACACAAACACTCACTCATTCATACACAACAACAAATACGAAAACACACACCCGAAACGAAAGGCGCCCCACATCCACCAGAAAACTGACATCACTAACCACCTAACGAGGGAGGGGATGGGGAATTAAACAAAAGTAAAAAATAGGGACAGAAATAAAAGGGACCAATGAGCTTACATACACTAGCTAAGTTAAACGGGAAATAAAAGAAAACTAAATATTCAACAACAAAAACCTAGCCTAGCCTAATATCGGGATGGGTTGCCTATGTTCAACCCTGTTAGGACAATATTCTGTGCCTAACCGACATCTAAATGCCACTCTAGGTCAGCCCCTTTCACTCTACACATTCGCGCCAGATTCACCCACCTTTTGCCGAATTCTGATGATGGGAGCCGCCGCCTTTCCGTCCTAATCTTGACTTTAAGCTGATGCCTAAAGTACAAGATCAGTTGGGAAGAGGTGAACTTCTCGCTTTCATAGAATCCCTTCTGTCGCGTCGTCCAAATCACGACTCGCATAACCCCTAGTAAGCAACAGAACACATAGTGTTCAGCCTTCGTCAATTGCGATACCACATTGCTACAAACAGAACTGGCTTCCAGGACAAAAAACTTTCCCTGCAGCATGCGAACCATGAGGCCTTCAACAAACTTGCACAACGGCACTACCGCACTGCACTGAAAAAAGACGTGGCCAATGGTCTCGACATTCCCAGTACAGCGACGACAGTTTGGATATTTCTCCAAGTCTGCTGAACAAAGTCTTTTGCCGACCCAGAGGGCCCCACGAATCATCAGCCAGGTGAGTGATGCCTCATCGTTATTGAGACATTTCAACCCGGGCGCCCAAGGCCATATCGAGCGAGCCTCCTGCTTCGTAAGACCGAGCTCGTCGATCAGACCATCTTGAACGGACCCCCTAACTAACACTTGATATAATGCCTTACGAGACAACGCTTGGGCGTCGGAGAGACCAACCGACGTCCGCAAGAGGAGTTTCAAAGCACGACGACATTCACGATAGAAGGAGCATTCGCCACGAGGAGTACGACCGGCCTCCCACCTCGCACGAGTGCACACTTCTCAAGGATGGGAAATGTTTACGGACATCTTCTTTCCAAACCGCGACACATTCGGTCTAGAAAGGTAATGCGTAGCATATATTGACGAATCTCAATGCTAGGCATCCCCAGACCGCCCCCAGAGGGATGAAGGCAACAGATCTCGCGAGATGCCATGTGGGCCTTGCCTCTCCACAAGAAAGAGAACAAGGCCTTGACTAACGACATTAGTCGGGCATACGGGAGTGGAAGCACAGAAAGACGGTAGAGGAGGATCGGATAGATGTGAACCACAAACTTCCGCCCTTCCCTTCAGGGAAAGTCCCTCCGAAACCACAGACTAGCCGCGGCCTCGGCCCGCCCTTTTGTACCTCCGACCAATTCTTTTCCAACTGGAGATCAGGACCGAACCAGACGCCGAGAATCTTGATCGGCCCATCCGTCCAGAGGAAAGGTCCGGGAAGAGAAACTCCCTTCCACGCACCCAACCGCAAGCCCACAGACTTATCGCGGTTGATTTTGGCCCCTGTCACCATCTCATACCCACTGATCTGCTTACTGACTTCGTTAATCTCGGCTCTGCTCGACACAAGAACCGAAACGTCGTCAGCATAGGCAGAATACCTGGCCGAGGTGTTAGCACCAGGCAGCGAAATACCGCGTAGGACCAGATTCGCCTTTAACTTGCGAAGGAAAGGCTCCAACGCAAGAACGTAAAGCAGATGCGATAGCGGACAACCTTGACGAATGGAGCGAGACAACACGAAAAGCTTCGATCTTACCCCATTCACTTCCACCAGCGCACCGGGGGTCGCATACAAGAGTCGGATCCAGGAGCGAAAGTCGGCTCCGAAACCGGCCGCCGAAAGGACAGCCTCCAGAAATCGATGGTCAACCCTATCGAAGGCCTTGGACTGATCTAAATTGATCAGCGCGGCTTCACTGTCGACTTGTTCTAAGATCAGGCGTACCATATGAAGGTTATCCTGAATAGTCCTGCCCTTCACAGCACAAGTCTGTTCAGGGCCAATCAGACTAGACAGGACAAGCTGCAAACGGTTGGCCAAGATCTTCGCCAAAATCTTTAAGTCAGTGTTTAACATCGTTAAAGGGCGAAAGTTCCCTAACCCATCCCCTCCGTCCTTGTCCTTACGCAGCAACTTGATGACATCTCTGGTGAAGCGTTGAGGTAAAGACCCCTGCCTCATCCAGTGGTTGTACATCAGCTCCAGCAAAGGCACAAAAACGTGCGACAACCTCAAGTACACTTCGTAGGGCAGACCATCTAATCCCGGAGACTTATCCAGGCCACGCTGCTTCAGCGCTTCCCAGATTTCCGACTCTGTTATGGGACCCTCGCACCTAGCCACTTCAGCTGCCGAGAGGCAGGGAAAGTCAGCTAAATAGGCGTCGAACTGAGCAGAACTCAGACCGGGCTCCCTGGTGAAAAGATCCTGAAAGTAATCTCGAAAGGCCTCACATATGCCCGCGTTTGTAGTCACGGTCCGCTTATCCGATAATGTGACGCACGCTATATGTCGCCTGGCTGCGTTTCGATTTTCCTCTACACGCAGTTCAGCGGCCATATTCGTTGCCTCAGAAGACATTCTTTTTAACCTAGCCCTAACTACCAGAGCTTGATCCTTCTTGATAAGCAAGGAGGCCAACTCTGCCTTAGCTAAGACTATGTCCCCACTAACACGGGATTTCACGGCCCGATCAACTTTTTCTTCTAAAGCCGTTTGCGCCGCTAATTTATCTAAATTGAGCCGACGACTAAAGTCGGCAGCAAACGTTCGAATTTTAGATTTTAAGTTGCCCCACCAGGCATTTCCCACAACCGCTCCCGTCAATTCCCTCTGGATCGTTAGTAGCAGCTGGTCCCGGAAACCCTGATCACTGAAAAGCGAACAGTTCAATTTCCAGTAACCAGCCAACCTAGCCTTAGGCTTATCTAAGTTTACGCGAACCCGGACAAGCCTATGATCCGTATAAACTATATAATGGAAACTTGGACACCCTAAGAGCCCTACATCGACTCTCCTAACTAAGACTCGGTCCAAGTAGCTCGCACGCGAGCCAGGATCCGAGTTGCCACTAGTTGTCCAAGTCCATACTACCTCCCGAGGATGTTCATTCCGGAACTTATCGACGAGATCAAACCCATCGATAAAGTCCCGAAATGGTTTCACACCCGGGTTGTTAGTACCTTTTTTGTGCCCGATACGATCTATATCGGGGTCAAGGACGGCATTCCAATCCCCCGCTAGAACTACCCGACGAGACGTCGTCAAGAACGGCGCGATCTGCCGAAACAAAGCAGGCCGCTCGGAATGGGTATTGGGCGCATAAACCCCAATGAGACGAAGA